TGCAGAGTTCTAGTCAAATCGTGCCTCAGAGAGTCAGCACCCTCTTTTACAAGGAAGGGGGCTGAACCCCAAGGAATGCCAGGGCCTGCCCAGCACCCCATGGGCTTAGCTTCTCTATGGGGACAGAAGGGCAGGTCTTTGTGACCTTAGTTTGGGCCTGTGCTGCCTCATGGTGTGCTGACCTTTTGGAGAGGGGCTGGACCCTGCAGGACTAAGGGAGGCTCAGCCCCTCCTAGCCCTGGGGAGTCAGGGTGCTCATGAAGCATGGTGTCGCACATACAGTAGGTCTTTCCACAGCCAGGTGCCCAACTGTTCCACACTGGGGTGGGAGGGGCGTAGAGCCATGCAGTTCAAAGTCAGGAAGTCTTCAGGAGGCAAGAAGCTAGGACTTACAGCTGGAAATGCCATGTCCTAATCTCACCAAGTTTTCAGAGCTTCTCTCCTGTCTACCTCTGCCCTTCCCTGAACCAGTCCACACCCACAGACACACCTCACCCTCCAGAATCACCCCTCCTCCGTACGTCCCATCTGCACTCCCAGATGATGCCCCCAGCATCCTACCTTGCCTGGCCAGCTGGACTTCTGCCTTGATGAGGGTCCCCTTTCTCGCAGGCTGTGAGCCTGTGGGTGACACAGTGTGTCAGGAGCTACTGTCAGTCTCCTCTGTGGCTGGGGATGGTCAGAGCTGGAGTTACAGGACTTTCCCGGACCTGAAAGAAGACTGGTGCTTTGTTAATTCCATCCGCACAAGACATAGCCTGTCTCTCCTACTCCGATCTCCTCAGGTTGTCTGGCCTCCGGCCTCTAGTGTCGCCATTTTTCTTGGCTTGTCTTCCTTACTAATTAAATGTTTGGAGGGTCAGTGCTGCATGTGTTGGCCTTTCTATATATTCTCCAGAGCCAAGAATATAACTTCTTTATCTCCAAAGGCTCAAGGGCACAACCCATCTTCGCTCTTCTACCCTCTGTCCTTTCCACTTTCCCCTCTTGCTTCTCTTGTGCAGTGGAGGTGGCCCATCCCGCCCGGAAATCCTGGTGAAAAAGGTACCTAAAGATGTTCATTAGGTCAGAACACCCGGAAGTTATCGTTTCTAGTTTCAACCTCTCACGAAAACAACAAACAAGGAAAATGAGGCTTCACTGATAGCTGGGCCTAAGAAGCAATGGTGGCTCACCTTTCTCCTCAGCCAGTTAGCATCCTGAACTTAGACAAAAGGCCTTCTTCCTCTAAGAAAGGGGGAGAAGACACAGAGAAATGTGCCATTACCACATCTGTGCTCAGGCATACCTTCTAATCTTTACCCACCCATTTCACTGGCCTGTTCCCCTGTGGTATCCCGTAGGCCAACCTCTCTCACCCAGGATCTCTGCAGAGAACAAGACAGCACAAGTGGCCAATTGGGAGGTGGTGAGGGCCTCACTTCCCACCTTCCTTTCTTGGAGAAGGCCTGGACAGTTGGTGATTTCTGGAACCATGGCACTGTGTTGCAATTCGTGTTACCCCTTTTGGGCATCGGAGTATCCCCAACATTCCCAGATTCTTCAGAAATTAAATCATTCAGGTGAAATGAATTTGAAAGGCAGGGGGAAGATAGAGAAGGCTTGGGCTGTAGCCTCATATCTACCTGCAGTTTTCTTTTCCTCCCTCTCTCGTGTGGGGACCTTGAACCCATTTCCGGGGCCTGGAGCCCGAGTAGTGAGGACTGCTACACTCCAGGTGGAGATAGCAGCGTGCCATCAGGAAAGAATCATGGGTAATAAAAACTAATGTGGAGAGAGCACAGGCCATCCACCATGTACCACACTAAGAGCTGGAAGCCAACCCCTATCCAGCACTGAGAAGAGCTTCATGGAGACACGCTTTTTGTGATGGGCTGAATCTTTCCCCCTCAAATTTAAACCCCCAAACACACCTGTGATGGTATTAGGAGATGGGGGTATAGAGTAATTAGCTTGTAAGAATGGGGCCCTCACCGGTGGGGTTAGCACTGTTTCGTAAGAAGGGTCAAGAGGTCTAGCTAGACCTTGTGAAGATACAAGGAAAGCAGGTATATGCAGCTTGGAAAAGAGCCATCATTACACACAGCCATGCTGGCTCCCTCAGGTCAGATGTCAGGCTGCAGAACTGGGAGAAACAAACGTTTGTTGTCCAGGCTGCCCTGACTGACTCATTATCATCCCAATTTCACAACAGGAGTTTAGGGCACAGAGAAATAAGCAGCTTGCTAAGGAGAGGCAGCTGGTGAAGCTAGAGACACAGAGCCTAGAGCGGTTAGCGTAGAAACGGGGAACAGAGGAGCAGAAGTGGCCTACGGGTGAGAAAGAGTCCCCGCTGAAGCTTATGGAAACGCTGTCCCTGGGGAGCGGTCTGGGTGGGCAACTCCTCTCCTGACTAGAGAGTTGTCTGAATCGGCCCAGCTGGGATTTTGGTGGAGGGAGTCTTCATCCTGGTCTCCCAGGGTCTCCGTTGAAACAGGTCGTTGATCTCATGTCCATCCTGATTGGTGCCAGGCAAGCAGAAGGAGACAGGACCTGGCCTGACGCTTCTTGACTGGCAGGTTCCCTATAAGACATGTGCTGGGGATTTGGGTGAGCAGCTAGGTGGCATCCCAGCATCTGTCAGGGTGCCGGTTTGTGAAGCAGGGCTTGTAATTACAGCCATAAATCAAATGTGGACAGAAGAAGAGCTGTCAAACTTACGGGAGTATTTTGTGCAGAAGAGGTTTAAAGAAAGAAAGAAAGAAAGAAAGAAAGAAAGAAAGAAAGAAAGAAAGAAAGGAAGGAAAGAAAAGAAAGAAAGAAAGAACGAAAGAAAAGAAAGAAAAGAAAGAAAGAAAGAAAGAAAGAAAGAAAGAAAGAAAGAAAGAAAGAAAGAAAGAAAGAAAGCAAAAGCAGCTGTGGTATGGCAGCCAGGCTGGCTGGACCTAGTGAGGGAGACTTGTGGTGCCACAGTGAAGGATGTGTGTGAGGATCAAGGGTGTCCTCTGTGGTGAGGATGACAGAATAGCCAGAGGAAGAGGCCCTTCTTCAAGAGACCTATCCAGGCAGACAGCTGTGAGCTAAGTCCAGCTTACCCTTCGCATCCTTGTGCTCTTTCGGCTTTTCCTACTCTTACAGCTCTTTCCCTTAGGTGAAGCACTTAAAGAAAATGGCTCTAGGCATCGGTGTTTGCGACTATCTACTCCTGGGCAGATCTTCTCGGCTGTTTCCCTCTTTTCACTGATTTCATTCGGGCTCCGCTTTCTCCTTCTCTCCTCAGCGGGGCCCGTTTCTAGTCTTTGACAGACTAGATTGAATCAAGACATTCACAGGCCCCATTCTACTCATCTGTGATTGGCTTAGGGGGGGACATGTGACCTAGTTCTCATCGAGGAAACATAAGAAGTCTCTCCTTTCCAGGAAGAAGAGAGGCCAAACACTCAGGGAACAGCCTCCAGATTCTGCCTGGTCCAGCACAACTTGGATTTTGAGGTTAGCTAGGTGATGCCTCTTTGTCCCAGCTTCCTCGCTGTATAGTATCTCTCAGTGTCACAGTGTCTCAGGGTGACCAGGACTGCTAGAAGAGGTGGTACACGGAAGACTCTCAGATCAGGCTCATAGCAGATGCCCAGTCACTGGGGATCATTAGTGTGAGCTTGTGTCACCCAGGGCATCTCTCTGGCCTATCTCCCCAGATGTCTTTATAATCTTGTTGAGTCGGGGCTCACTCACCCCCCCAGCTCAACTTGTCAGACATGCCTGCCCATGTACCCTAACCCCTAGACTTGATTCATAGTCTATCTGCAAGTTGGCCTTGGGAGGCAAGTAGACTGCTATTAATGGACCATTTAGTAGACCTTTGGAGGTGAAGGAGGTTTGGGGAGCCGCTGAGCATGTGTCCCCAGCGCATTCGTGTATGGAGGACAGGTATGTCTTCAGAGCATGTCTGATCCGGGTCCCTATGAGGGGACAGATAATGGCAAGTAGCACTTAATGCTTGAGAAGACCAGGGATTGGAAGTCGTGGTGTAAGCAGGGGCAGGCTGGCAAGAGTAGATTGATCAACAGGTGTGGGCCCCGGAGTGACGGCGCCAGTCACGCAGAAGGAGAAGGGCAGAGGCAGATATCCGCTGTAGGGAGGAAAGCCTCGGGGCTCAAAACCAAAGAAGAGAAGGCTAGGAGAAGCTGAAGCACAGCTTCAGGACTTCATGGAAGAAGTGAGGCCTTCCCCATGCGCTTGTTTTTTATGGTTTTGGTTTTTGAGATGCTTTACTGTGAACTGTTCCCCTGCCTCTGCCTCCTGAGTTCAGACATTATAGATGTGCCTTCAGGGGGCCTGGCATTAAGGCTTGAGGGTCCCCTGGGTCAGCTTTCAAAACTGTGTCCGCCTCATATGTTGAGAGGTAGTCCAAGGGGCTGGAAGGATGGCTGAGCAGCTGAGAGCACTGGCTGCTCTTCTGGAGGACCTACCTGGGTTCAGTTCCCAACACCCATATGGCGGCTCACGGGTGTCTGTGGCGCCAGTTTCATGGGGACCCAACACCTTCACACAGACACACAGACACACACACAGGCAAAACACCAATGCACATGAAATAAAAAGAAATAAAATTACTTTTAAAATGTAGGCCAGAGCTGGCAGTATTACACATTGTACTCGGAAAGCCACACCCTGGTTCTGCTCTTTACAAGAGGACCCAGGAGCTAGCATCTACAGGGGCCCAGGCATCAGGGTTTTTTTTTTGGGGGGGGTAGGATGGGACTTAAGTATTCCCAAGGAGTCACCCACTCCCATCTCCACCCTTCTACTCGTCAGCTTCTCTGGCCCAAGAGCTGTTGCCTATGTTGCATTAAGCTGTAGAAAAGACTGATTTGAGATGGACTCTTTTAGGTCTAAAAACAATAATAAAAGATCATAGTGGGGGGAGGGGCAGCTTCAACCCTACCAACAATTGTCACTTCATTTTCTTTCCAGCCTTGGTCCAAATATTGGTCTGTTTTCATCACACCATCCTACGCTTCGTCGGTCTGTGAGCCTGGCATCAGGATTCTTCGTTGCCCCTCCATTACTCTCCCTGGTGTATAGCCATTGTCCGTCCCTCCTATCCTATTCCATTTCCATCCTGCTCTTAACCCTGGAAGCTGACCTCTGTGGACTGCACCCCTCACTTCTAGGCCCTCTGTCTGTGCTGGGGCTCACCAGGCAGAGAGCATAGGAGGAACCGTGAGGTCTGAGCACTTCCTTGTTGTATGTGCTGCTGAAACAAGGCACTGCAGCCATGGGTCCCGGACAGCCGGCAACATCTCACAGCGATGGGAGCTGCAAACTCCAATTACGGTGTCAGCAGGGGTGCTTGCTTCTGAGGGTCTCTTCTTGGTTTGTGGATAGCCATCTTCTTGCTTTCCCTGTGCTCATGTGGTGGAGGGGAGGATGAGGAGGAAATGAGAGGATGAGGAGCAAAGAGGGACGGGAGAGAGAATGAGAGAGAACGGACCCTGGTATCTCAGTGTCCAGACTTCCTTCTCTTACGAGGTCGCCAGTCAGGCTAGATTGGGGTCCTGAGCCCAATTTAACCACCTTTGCAAAGTTTCTCTCTTCAAACACAGAACTGGGGAAATAAGACATCAATGTATGAATCTATAGGACAGCCCCATGGCCCCTGTCACACCGAGGACAGCTTTGGACAGTGTTCTCTCTCCACCTGCCATTATCAGCCCCAAGGCCTGCAGACGCCTGTGTCTCCCCACATCTGACTCACATCTTATAAATAGCCCCTCTAATTGACTCCGCTCACAGGGCCATTTCCAGAGGGTGGCTCCTGCTGGCGAAAGACCCAGCAGCTCTAGAGGGTTTCTGTATGATGGGGGCAAGACTGACCCCTGGTTTAGCTCCTTGTGAGAGGACACTTGGCCCTGGTTAGTTACGGAAGTGGAGGTGGAGAGGGGATGTTGACCATACTGCATATGGTCCACATCTTTAAGACAGCCTCAGTAGCCCTGGATGGCCACTCTTCCTGCCTGCCAGCTCCTATCTCTCCTCCAGCCTCCGTCCCAATTCTCAGATCCCATCCCCTTCTCTTGTACTTTTCTGGTCAGTAGATCCCACCCACAATTTGTGTCTCCTCTTAGCCCATCCAGCCTTCACTTAGACGCTTCTCATTTCTTTTCCCAAGAGTCTTCCTGGTGTCGGACCGGAATGAGACTCTCCCTCAGGACTCCGGCATCATCTTGTAAGGTAACCATTTGCCTTTCTGCATTGTGGCGTTTTTGCTCCTATCATCTCACTCTGGTATGATGGAGTGAGGTATGATGGTATGATGGTCTCATGGTATTCTGAAGGAAGAGCATGCTTTTATTCGTCTGATCTTTACTTCTAGGCTCCTGTTGTTGATTACTTTTTTGGAAATACTGTGGATATTTCAACAAACTTTTAGAGCCAAATCCTTTTTCATTGCCCAGCTGTATATATGATTAAAATAAAGAGATGATCAAAGTATTGCAAAGGCTTTTTTTTTTTTTTTTTTTTTTTTACTTAGGTTTATAATCCTTTAAAGAGGAGGTGAACAGCTCTCACAGGGTTGCACGCAATAAACAAATATGACAGCTAATATTGTTTGCTGGGATCTGGAATCCACTGGGGGATTCTGTCAGGAGAGAAGATTAAGTGAGAAGTGAGGACCTTACTTAAGAGAAGGTGAACGGCCTAGCTAGGAGGAGGTTTGAGGAAAAGGCTGTGTTACTTGCTGGTCTTTGCTTCTTGCTGAGCAAGTGCATCTAAATGGCCACTGCCGCCATGCTTTATCCCACCGCAGTTTCCTCAGGTCCCAACATGGCCTGAAGATCAGTCACTCTCCAGTAACCCTCAGGCACCTTCAATGCCACACTGAGCCTTCTGAGGCATCCAGCCTTACTAACAGATCAGCTACCCATTTCTTATGTTCTCTGGCATCTGGAGAGCCCACACTGCAAACTGTTCTAGCAAACCTCCCCTCCCCTGTTCCAGCGATTGGTCCTGTTTCTCTAGAGACCCTTGCCTGACACAATGAGGCACATTATTCATATAACACGAGTTCCAAAGTTATTAATCTGTTACTCACTGAAGCAGGGCTCCGTGAAAAGCACGCTGTAATTAAAGTCTGAACTCTTTATATGAGGTGCCCAGGAAGGGTGACGGCCCACACTGTGCAGATTTATGTCAAGACGTCCCTGCATGCTGGAAGGTGGGGCTAGGGATGGAAGGAAAGGCTTCCAAGGTCATGTGCTTACCGGTTGTGGCCTTGGCATTGAGTTCTCAAAAGATCTGTCAAATTATAGTTGGTTTGAGTCTGGCATCTTAGACCACTTGGCCATCCCTCACTGTGTGTCTGTGTGTCTCTGTGTGTGAGTGTGTGCATGTGTGTGTATGTGTATTTTTGAGAGAGACAGAGTTTCACTCTGTAGACCAGGCTGGCCTGGAACTCAGAGATGCTCAGCACTCCAAGTCCTGGACATAAAGGCGTGTACCACCACTGCCTGAAGCCTCGCTCTCGGCCTCTTCCCTCCTGTCCATCACAAATATTCTTTCCTGTTCTGACTCAGGATCTTCACTCCAATCTGCCTCCTAAAACAATATTTTTGGACTATCATTGACAACGAATCCCTCTAAATCATCTAAGAAAACATGTGTAATCCGCTGGAAATTTCAAGGCAGTGAGTCATCACTCTTCTTGTCCCCCTCAAATTCCCATATCTTATGTAAGGCTGAGTCACTGTCCATGAGGTCCATGGAGTACAGAAAAGAATTGGAAAGCTCTGAAGATGTGTGTGTGTGTGTGTGTGTGTGTGTGTGTGTGTGTATGGTCTATGTGTGTGGTCTATGTGTGTATGTGTGTGTGTGTGGTGTGTATGGTGTGTATGGTATGTAGTGTGTATATGGTGTCTTGTGTAGTGTGTACATGTTTGTGTGTGTCTGTGTGTGGTGTGTATCTGTGGTATGTGTGTTGTGAGTGTATGCATTTGTGGTATGTGTGTGTTTGTGTGTGTGAATGTGTGTGTCTGTAGGGTGCGTGTGTGGTGTGTGTGGTGTGTGTGTGTGGTGTTTGTGTATGTGGTGTGTGTGTTTGTGGTGTGTGTGTGTATGTGTGTGTGTGGGTGTGTGATATGGGTGTGCACGTGTATGTGGTGGGAAGGATGATGTCTGCAGCTTTGAGGGGCCGGTAGCAGCCACGAGACCCCCATCCTTGGAGCTCGCTTTTTCCTCTGCTTCATTTTCTACCCAGGGTGGTGTTGGCAAGAGTGAACTGCTCTCTTGCTGAAGCTTGGGGATACTTGTCACTGGGCTGAGGAGGGGCAGGCCAGGTAGAGGTGTCCCTGCTCCATTTCCACACACACTCTAGGGAAGGGTGAGGAGCTCTCTGCAGAGTTCAGAGGGGCACAAGACATCCTTGGGGTCAGCTTGCAGGTCTGGGCTCTGGCTAGTGCTGGCTTTCTCATAAACGTGCACAGGCTATGGATCCGAATCCAGGAGAATGGAGAACAGCAGGCATCCAGGGAGAAGCATGAGAGCCCATTCTTCTGATGAAGAGGTGGCCCACTGAAACTTAACCATAAAATCGTCACACAGAAATCAAGCAGATAAAGCCACAGTCATCCCCAGAGGGAACAAAATAAGCCCTAGGCCAGCGTGACTGACATATCTAGAGGGAAAGGTGCCAGTGTGACATGTCCAAGGCTACAGGAAAGCTGCAGAAAAGAGCTGGTGCCTAGTCACATGACCACCCCATTTCACTGTGTGGGCACAGGGATGCTGGCTGAGTTCTCCAACAGTGAACCTGTTTCTTTTGGGGAGGTGGGTACCTTAGGAACGGCTTCCCAAGACTAGCATCTCCTGGGAAAAGGAGTGGGGAAAGTGCTTAGCAGATCTCCTCTCCTCTCCTCCCCTCCCCTCCCTTCTCCTCTCCTCCCCTCCCCTTCTCTCCCCCCCTTCCCCTCCTCTGCCCTTCACCCCTCCTTTGCCCTATCCTTCTTTCCTTCCTTCTGTCTTTCTTTTTATGAACACTGTCCCCGGGTCTGATTCAGCAGTTCTGTCCTTGCCTTATCTGAATCCCCCTCCACGGCAAGAGGCAGGCAGCTCTCAGAGGTTACAAGCAGAAGTGCTGAAGATCATGAAGCTATCCAGTAACTAGCACCATCTCTGGGTCCGGGGGCCTCCAAGGGGGTGTCCCCAACATCACACTCTGCCTCATGTTTTTCTGACTTCATGACCTTCCAGTGAGATGGCCTCTAACCACGTGTGCTCACTAAGCGCCTCACATGTGGCAAACTTCTGTAAGCATCAGAGACTTGTGGGATTTTCAAAGACTTAGTGAGGAAAAAGAAAGAAAAACAGCACATCAATGGTTTTCCATACATCAAAGATTTGATGTTGAAATGATAATTTTTAGACATATTGGGTTAGATTAAAATATGACTTTAAAATTAATCTCACCTGTTTCTTTTTACCTCTGGCCACAACCCAAGGCCCACAAATAAAAAAGGGAGAAAGATAACAGAAGGGAAAACCGAATCACAGGGCCAGAACTCAGGTGGGTGCAAGGTACGGACTTCAGCAGCTAGGGAAGGCTGGGTTTCAAATGGTGCTTGGGCTGAGCTGTGGCCCTTGTGCCTCCCTGTAACTTCAGGATATGATATTGTTTGGAAATAGATGGTCTGTAACTAATTATGCTGAGATCTTACCAGTTCAGGGTAGACTATAAACCCAGAGACTTTTTCTTGCAGAAAGCAGTGTTAATGCAGAGACACCCACAGAAAGAAGCCCACGTGGTAGAAGAGGAGGAGACTGGAGTGACACAGTCACAAGCCAAGGACACCATGGGTTGTTCCCAGCCTCAGAAGCCAGGAGAGGCTTGCGGAGTGGGGAGGCCTTTCCCGAGCATTCAGAGGGAGCATGGCCCTACTCACACCTTGATTTTTGACATCCAGCCTCCTCAGTGAGATTATAAATCCAAACAATTTTTTAAAAGATTTATTTATTATTTATACAGTACTTTTCCTGAATGTATGCCTACACACCAGAAGGGGGCACCAGATCTCATTATAGATAGCTGTAAGCTACCGTGTGGTTGCTGGGAATTGAACTCAGGACCTTTGGAAGAACAGCCAGTGCTCTTAACCTCTGAGCCTCCTCTCCAGACCTAAATTCAGATTTTTTTTTTTTTTTTTTTTTGGTTTGCTTGGTTTTGTTTTGTAGAGACAAGGTTTCTTTGTGTAGCCCTGGCTATCCTGGAACTTGCTTTGTAGACAAGACTAGCCTTGAACTCGAAGAAATCTGCCTGCCTCTGCCTCCAAGAGCTGGGCTCAAAGGCGTGTACCACCACCAGCCAGTTTGTGGTACTTTGGTAGAGAGGCTGAAGGAAACTGTTGTGCTCACTATGGAAAAATATCGTATTAGTAATTTCTATGAATTTTTTTTACCAATAATTCAGTATGTATTAAATGTGTTGAACTGAATAAAAGTTAAAGACACAACTAAATTGCGATCATGACTCGTGTGGCTTATGTTATGTCACTATTGGGCCTGGAATTCTCCTTTCCCAGGCGCTGGTTTTATACTCAGCCAGGGCAAGGTTCTAGACTCTTGCATGCCCCACTGGCTGTGGGCTGTGTAGGAAAGGGGTCTTGGGGTTACACGAACAGCTCCCTGGTATGAGAATGCAATGTTAGAATCCAGATGTTGCTCAAGCCTCAATACACATGCGTCTGCCTTCTCCCTCTCACAGATGTGACGAGTGTCTGCCACAGATGAGGCATTATTGTCTGCATCCTTAGCTTATAGACTTTACCAGGTGAGGCCCTGGGGAAATTAGTTTACATCAAAGTGGAGACCGATGGCCATGCATTCTGCTCTCCACCCTCTTCCCAGACTCCCGCCCGGGGACCAGAGAGCCTGTCTATACGCTGAGCTGTGCAACCTCCCCAGTCCTCAGAAAGGTATGAAAGAACACTCCTACTTTTGCCCCACAGTCCTCAGTTTCCGCTCTTCAGAGCCTCTGGTATGATGCATTTGTCGCTGGTACTGGGTCCATGCTGTTGTCTGCCTACCCATGGCTTTAATGACTCTCATGATTAGTCCCGTGCCCCTAACAATCCCTCAATGTCCCTCCGAACCCACATTCCAGACCTTCCAGTTTTCTCCAGAGTTGGTGAGATGGAGTGAAACGTGAGGACGAGAGAAGCCGCCTGGCTTAGCCAGACCTAGTTCATGTTTTCCTCAGCTGGGGCTAGGATTCTACTCCAGGTTTCTGCCTGGAGATAGCGGTACAGCCAAGCCGGTGGTGGTGGTTCCTGTATTTCACTGTATCAGTCACAGAATATGTAAATGGGGAAGAGGTCTCCCTGGTAGCTTGCCATCTTGGAAGGGTCTTCAGAGGTGGGAGTTCAAGGGGTAGGGTTGATGGGGAAGCCTACCCACTTTAAAGGGGCTCTTCAGATACAGAGAAATACAGACCGATCTGATAAGGTAGTTCTTCTGGGATATGAGGGACTACTGAGGTGAGCATGAAGCCACTCTCCAGGGCCCCTGGCAGAGGAGCCTCCCTCTTCTCTGTGTAACAGTGGCACCTGCTGTTATTGCTGCTGCTGTGTCTAGTGACAGGTTGTAGCTCAGCTCCCTGTGGGAGACAACGGCCTCTACTCAAGCTCTTGCACTTTCTTTGCGGAACACCTGAGAGTCTTGTTGCTGAGAGTCTGTCCATGGGGAGTTGGTCCTGGTGACCATTTCAGCTCACTGTAGGAGTTAGATGGTGGAGTGTTCTTTCTGTGGATAGTTCCTGGGTGCTGTGAGGCTGCATGGGTCTCAGACATCGGGAACAGTGAACTGGTGGCTGGGCCAGTGAACCAGGCTCTAGCTCCTGAACCCCACTGTGCAGTGTGAAGCAAGGTGAGGGGTCCCCAAATATGTGGCCACATGGGTCCATGCTCCAGTAGGTTTGGCTGTCTGCCTTTTCTCCCTGGGCCCAGCTATGGTTCCCAGACCTCCTCAGCCTTCTCCCTCTTGTCTGTTCCTTATCTATGGCTCCAGTGTTTTAAAAAATGTCACATTGAGCAGTCAGGGCTGCTCAGAGCCCAGAGCACAATCAGTTCACCGCAGTGGATGAGCCCACCCCACCCCCACCCCATCTGTTTTCACAGCCTGTAGCTGGTCAGAGCCAGAGGGGTTCTTGGAGGCTAGCTCTGCCTCCTACCCAGCCACCTCAGCCTCAGCTTGGGGAATTGGAGAGTAGTTGTTTTGGTAGGTGGGGGTGTGGAAGGGGGAATGAAATCTTTCCTCATTCCCCATCCTCCCCCCACCAGCATTCACATTAAATAAAAAATAAAGGGCAGGGTTTCAGAACAAGACCCATTGGAACAAGACCCTTCCCAGTGACCAGGGGAATCAGCTCTCCTGGGTGTCCTGGGTGAGAAAGCACTGTCTCCCCCAACCCCCAATTCCAGAGGGACCCAAATCACTGGCTCTTTCAGTACCTTGGCTACTTTCCAGAGTCCACAAAAACTAACCAGAAGAAAAGGCTTCCACCTTAGCCACAGGGAGGTAGCTGGGCCTGGGTGGAAAGTGTCTTGAGGTAACCCAGCTAACTCAAGCTACACTCAGCTTCAGGCTGAGGACCCACAGACCTGCCACCTCACATGGGCTCAGGTCTAGCATCTAGGAGGGGTCCAGCAGGGAACAGATGTTTTCTTTCTGTCTTTCCAGCCCCATGGCTTTTATAATTAGACCTAGAAAAACATTTCTTGCTTTCTTCAGTTCTTTGAAAAATCAAGATTGGCTTAAACACAAAGTGAACATTTGGGTCTTTTGAATGTAGAAAAAAAAGGAGAGCGAAAGAGAGATGACCTTTTGAGAATAATGCTGCATTTCCACAGTTGGCCTCCCACCCCCATAGTTCCCAGCTCCTCTTGCTTAGGAAAATGCTCTGCTTGGCGTTGACACTAAAGATTGGAGATGAGATAACACCCCTGGGTTTCAAAGGCATTTCCCCAAGGGCCCAACTGCTTGCAAGGCCTCTGAGGAAATCTTGGCCAACTTCCTGGCTCCAGCAGCTGGCCTCAAAACCAAGGCTGCCTGGCCTGTCCAGGAAGCCTGTGAATCCCCAAGACCAAAAGAGGCTGCACTTGGAGATCACCCTGTGGGCTCAGAGGCCTGGCTGTGGGCCCTGGGCCTGCCTCAGCCAGGCTAGAAGCTAGTGTAAATGAACACATTTATCTCATACAGACCTCAGTTTCTGAGAAGCTGTATTCTCCTTTGGGCATCAGCAATCAAAAAGCCATTGCCCCTGAGGGGTGTGTGTGTGGGGGTGGTCACAGCTCTTCCCCACCTGACACTTGATTGATAGCTGCTGCCTTCTCTCTATAGAGTTTTTAACATTCACATGGTATTAGTAATCTTAGCAGAATGTTAACATCTTTGACCCCAAGGCAGAGGGCAGTGGCTCTCCCAGTAGACATTTGAACACATAAGGCCCCAAAGGGTAGTTTGCAGATGTGCCTTCCTAGGGACCACTTGCAGACAGAAGGTCCTGGGAGGAGAGCAGCTAGGAGAGGTCCGTGAGGTGGATTTCAAGTCTGAGAGAAAAGAGGGAGGGAATCTTAGTCTAGACAGAGGACACACTGGGGAAACATTAGCCTGGAAGTCCCAGGACCTGAGGTCTTGCCAGCAAAGGACAGCAAAGGACAGTGTGGGATGTGGGGCATGGTGGGACAGCCAGCCCACCAAGGCCGTGTATCAAGGTGTGGGGCAGAGGTATCCAGACACCTCACCACACGTTGGCATCACAGAAGCAGGAGAATGGCAGGCATGATACAGGCTCTTCCACAGAACTGAAACATGTCAGAACAACTTCTAGCCCACCTCTCCTGCTCAGTGGCCGTCTGGCTCTAGGCCAGTTTCTTGAACCCAGTGCCTTAGCTTCTATTTGTGTTTGGGCACAAGTCAGGGTTACCTGAGAAAGAGGGACTGTTGTGGGGCCACCAGCTAAGTCTTACCAGCTGAGTTCTGTCTTGGGCCACTGAAGCAGGTTTATTGCCAAAACCCAGACTATTCCCAGTTGGCCAGGGCTTGTGTGCGTCCTGGGAAGATCTAGAGAGTTCTTGGTGGACTGAGGCTGCCTTGGGAGATTGTGGCTGGCCCTTTCCCTCTTGATTGTGTTTGGGATTAACATCTAGCCCCTGAACTTTTTCATTTTTTTACTGAGACGGAAACTTGGCTGGGAACCAAGCCTGGATGTGCTTGCAGAGTGGCTGGGCTCAGGCCCAGTGCATGGTAATTGTGGTCATATGTGAGACGCTGGCTCGCTGGGTGCTGGAGCTGCAGGACAGGGCTACCAGGCAGAGAGAAGCTAAGGCAAATTGTGTGGCCTCAAGCTCCCGCCCTCACCTTTCTATTTCTTGGTCTTCCTGTTTAGGTGATGGGATCAGCTTGTAGGATCTGGCTGATCTAAGAGTCTCGGTGGCGTGTTGGAGAGATAGCTCAGCAGTTAAGAGCACTATCTGCTTTTCCAGAGGTCCTGAGTTCAATTCCCAGCAACCACATGGTGGCTCACAACCATCTATAATGAGATCTGATGCCTTCTTCTGTCATGCAGGCCCACATGCAAATAGAGTACTCATATGTATAAATAAATAAATAAATCTTAAAAAAGAAAAAGAGTCTAGGTGGCTTGAGAGACAGCCTATGAAGCCCCTTTGGACTACTCAGCTCTGCTACTGTGTACATAGGAAAGGTCAGAGGCTCCAGGGTGTGTTTCTGCTCTGCCTCATCAGTGTAAGGCCAGGGGCCCTGAGCTACTACAGAATGGCTGTGTGTGGGTGTCCTATCCCAGGAAGAGGAGTTCTGGATGGAAGAGGCCATCAGAGTGGGTTGGGAACCTTAAGAGAAAGGCCCAAGTGGAAGGGCATCCAAGACAACCTTCATGAGCTGCCTTGTGGCTGAGGGAGAAGCTGACTTCTATCCTCTGTCAGCACTAGGGCGGTGCTGCCCTTCTGCTTGACCTTAGCCATGCTTTAGGTCTGAATGAACAAAAAATAAAATAAAATAAAATAAAATAAAATAAAATAAAATAAAATAAATAAAATAAAATAAAATAAAATAAAATAAAATGGAAAGGACAGGGCTAGGTATGGTGGAGGAGAAAGTTTATTGTGGATAAACGGGAGACATGGTCAGAGGCAGGGACATCTGGGAGAGTATAGAGTGGACTTGGCCAGACTGAGCTAGGCCATGTGAGGAAAGCAAAGAGGGAAGACCAGCTGCTGACGAAGAAGGGCAGCCTGGGTCAAGAGACTAGCCAAAAGAACAGATGGAAAAAGATTAGATAGTCAAAATGGTTGGATTATATAGGGAAGGGCAGCTGGGGTGAGGGAAGCCCAGCCCAATATCTGGGCTGGAGAAGTGTAGGGTAGGGGCGAGGTCTGACAGCCAGGAAGACCATATTATAGGTAGGGACTGAAGGATGCAGGGTGAACCTGGAGGCCAGGTTTACTTCGATATGTTAAGCAGGCACCGCAGCTGTTTGTCCAGATTTGAGACCTAACAAGGCTAACATTACCTTGTCATGCTGGGGCAATCCACAGCCCCCCCCCCCAGTCAGTCTTGGCGTTTCTCTTCCTCCCCCTCTACTGCCTTTCCCCTTCTCCTCTTGCTTGTGCGTCTTCTCTTCAGAGACCTAGTCTTGAAGGGTGGCTTGGGAGGCAGGCGGACTTTCCTCTTCCAGCCTCAGGCTTCTGCCTATGATGTTGGGACAGCTCACCGCAGTGCTGCGGCAAGATGAACTAGGAGCCTTCTCCCTTTAGAGCATCCTTGGGGTTTGGTTAGAATGCCCTTTACAAAACAAATAATTAATTAACTTTACATTCTGAGTGCACTTTCCCCTCCCTCCT